CATGAACGAACGGGGCGTTACACCTAGTTGCAGCTGAAAAATAAAATAAAAAAGGAAATACAACTAAAATAAAAAAGGAAATACAACTCCAACATCCTGACTAAAAAACAAGCAAAAACAAAACAAAAACCATCCAACCTAGAGATCCGAAAACGAGATCAATCACAGCAGTCACAGGAAATCCATCAGCTCCCCAAGGAACACACAGTCAAATGTCAAAAGCCACACAGTCAAATGCCAAAAGCCACAGACAAGAACACCCAACTTCTTCATTGCCATATAACAGCACCAAATTCCATCCACCTAGCCTCATCAAAAGAAAACTACTGCACCAATCTCCACAATATCAAAATAAATCCAACAATAATCCAAACAGCACCAGAATCAAAAAACAAAACAAGAACATAGTCAGAAAATGGAGACAGCTTGAAGAGAAGATTGAGAATCAGTGAATTCCATCCAACTATTAATGGCAGATTGGACTATGAAATGCTCAGGTTTCATCACATTTTGAAACGTCCAGAGATTTCTAGCTTTCCATAATTCCCACAAAAGGTAGGCCGTGAGTTGAAGCCTGCTGTTAGAGAGAGGGGAAGGACCAAGAGTGAATAAGTGAGACCACCATGCTTTGAAAGAAGAAGTGTCCTGAGCATGGAAATTCCAAGATAAAGGTGCAAGCTTCCAGACAGTTTTAGTCCAGGGGCAATTAAGAAGAAGATGCTCAACTGTTTCGACACCTTCACCACAACATTTGCAGGTAAGATCAGAAACTACTTTCTTGATTCCAAGGTTAGAAGCAACCGGGAGAGAGTTGTTTACACATTTCCAATGGAAATGTTTAATCTAACCTTAGATGTTAAGGCTCCAGCTTCTCTTCCTCATGCCAACTAAAATCTTATGCCCAATACTACACTCTGCAAAATCCAAAGAAGCCCATTTCCCATCAGATAAGCTCTGGTAAACTAATGCAACAGTGAGGGGTTTATTAGTAGTGATTCCATCCCATATCAATTTGTCTTCTCCATGAGGATCAAGGCCTTTAATTTGCTGAATGGCTGAAACTTCCAAGGGAGAAAAAACAGAGTTTAGAATGTCTAAGTTCTAATGCCTTCCAGTCTCATCCATAAGCTCATAGACCCAGCTGACACCACTGTGCTCCTGTCTTCTACCACTGTGCTTGATTATAGGAAAGGATGGGATCCAAGGTTGCTTCCAGATACTAATCCTTTTGCCATTCTTGATATCATATCTAAGACAACCATTTCTAGAGTTTTGCAGCAAGTCATCTCTCTCACATCAATCCAACTGTTCCAGAGCCAGGAACTAGTTTGTTTCTTGGTGATATTGAAGAAGTTATCTCTGTGGTAGTATCTAGCTTTCAGTACTTTGCTGACAAGGAGGTTTGGCTTAGTGAGAATCCTCCAAATTTACTTTGAAATGAGGGCTTTATTCATGAGATGGATGTCTTTGAATCCCAGCCCACCTTTATCCTTAGGAGTTGTGATAGAGTTCCAAGCTTTCCAGTGGATGCTCCTTCTATTCTGATCTCCATTATTCCACCAAAAGTCCGCAATGTATTTTTCAATGTTTGCTTTGTTTGGTTTTGGAATGATAAAGCAGGACATTAAGTAAATAGGAAGAGCATTCAGCACTGAGTTTATAAGCACCTCCTTACCTGCAGTTGACAGAAACTTGGATTTCCAATTTATTATTCTTTTCTTTTACAAATTTTTCCACATAAGCGAAGGTATCAATTTTTGATTTACCCAATCCCAAGGGCACCCAGATATTTGGAAGAGGTGTGAATAGATATGCCGTGAAGAGTGTGGCAGATTTGGGATTGGATATGAGGAGGGGTATTTTTGCTGAAAAAGATGGAAGATTTGGCTAAGTTGACACATTGACCTGTAAAAAGTTCATATTTCTTGAGAATGTCAAGCAAAAGAAAAGCTTGATCAACAGAAGCTTGAGAAAAGAGCAGAGTATCATCAGCAAAGACAATATGAGAGAGGCTAGGTCCATATCTGCTAAGTTTGAGACCTTTCCAATTGTCATTAGTCACCTCAGATTTGATAAGGCTAGAGAAAATCTCTGAAATGAGGATAAAAATGTAAGGAGATAGAGGATCTTCCTGCCTTATTCCTCTACTAGCTTTAACAAAACCTGAAGGAACCCCATTAATATTGAAAGAAAAACAAGTAGAGGAAATACAAGCCATGATCCAGTTAATAAAGAGAGTGTCAAAACCAAGATTACAAAGAATCTGTCTAATGCAGGGCCACTCAACCCTATCAAACGCTTAAGACATGTCTAATTTAATGGCCATGAAATAAGAATTGCCTGATCTATGCCTATTGAGAAAATGCAAAGATTCATGAGCAATAATGACGTTATCCAAAATATGCCTTTATGAGATGAAGGCTGATTGATTATCACTAATACAGAGAGGAAGCCATTTTTGGAGTCTACTGGCAAGAATTTTAGAAATAGTTTTATAAAAAACACTACAGAGATTTATAGGTCTGTAGTGGGAAACCAAAACCGGGTTCTGAATTTTAGGAATAAGAGTGATAAGGGTATGATTAAGGCTAGTCAGCATTATGCCTGATTCAAAAAAGCTATAGACAGAAGAGCAAAAATCATCTTTAATAGTAACCCAAAAAGCTTGAAAAAAAGAAGAGGACATACCATCCAGCCCCGGGGCTTTATTAGCATCAATGTTGAAGAGGGAATCTTTGATTTTAGTTTCAGTTACCATGGTTAACATCTCAGAATTCATATCAGCTAAAATGACCGGATGAATATTGTTTAGAATATTGGATCCTCCAGAAGAGCCTTCAGAAGTGAAAAGATACTTGTAAAAATCTTCAATGCAGGCAGTTATCTCCTCAGTGGTGGTACAGATTGTGCCATTATCTCTTATCAGCTTAGAGATATTATTAAACTTTCTCCTTTGAGCAACTTGGGCATGGAAGTATTTAGTATTCATTATCCCCATTTTTCAGCCAGCTTATCCTTGATTTCTGCCTCCAGAACCTCTCCTCAAGCTTATTTTCAGTATTCAGCTCTCTTTTACTATCCTCCCACATCTGCCAATCTCTATCATTTCCTTGCATTCTCAGCTGCTCAAGAGTAGAGTGAAGCTGCTCAATCTTTATCTTTCTGTCAGCATTAAAGTTCTTGCGCCATTTTAGAAGTTCAACTCTTGTGTTTTTTTATTTTACATTGAAGATTGAAAATAGGAGTCCCATTAGAATTAGGAGCCCAGGCAGCATCAACCACTTCTTGTATACCATGCTTTGAAAGCCATCTTTGATAAAAAATGAATCTCTTTTCAGGAGGATTCTGGGCAGTATGTGGCTTGAGGAGAAGCATGCTATGATCTGAGGATGATCTAAAAATATTATGAACTTGAGCAGAGGAGTAATGAGAATACCAGTCTATAGAAGCAAAGATTCTGTCAAGTCTTTCCTCAATGTACTCTTCTTCAGACCTACAATTCTCCCAAGTGAACTGATGTCCCATCATACCTAAATCAAGACCTCCCAGATTGTGGATAAATTCAGAAAAATGCTGGATTGAAGAGTTAGCCCACATTTCTTTTCCTCTTGGCATGCTATCTCATTCATTCACCTCCAACAAACCAATATCTCCCTCAATTCTGACTTTCATTCAATAAGAACTCTCTCTGCTCTAATCTAATTGCAGAACCTGTGCTGGCATAAATGAATATTCCCCAACAAGAAGCTTGCAAATTAGGGTCCCAGAATTGGACTTGAAAACAAAATGAGTTCTTCAGAATTTGCAAAATAGAAGTGGAAGAATTCCAAAAAAGGAGGAGACCACCACTCTTACCAGCAGGCTCAAAATAAGACCAATTATCACCAATACCTACATTTCTACAGACAGTCTTGATAAAACTGTTCTTTTTTTTTTTTGGTTTCTGACAAAAAGGATAAAATTGGGGTGTGGAGTCTAACACACTCCTTTAGCTGGGAGACTGTAGACTAGGATCAAGTAATGATGCGTGTCATACAATAAATACCCTTTAAACATGTATCAATACGTTAAGTGGTTGATGACTTTATAAATTAATTTAATGACATGTGTCCTACAATCGTGACTGATGACACGTATTCACAAATCGTGTATTGACACGTGTTCGATGATATAATATAATTAAATAATTGTATAAAAAAATGTTGGTGAATAAGTAATAGGGTATAGCATTTATATATTTAGTATAAAATGAATGTTCAACATTATCAAAAACTCTATAAGCTAAGCTATCTGATTACTCTATATCAAACCGTATAAATATAATCGTCTATGAGCTTTTTGTTTGGAGAATGTTTGAAACAACTTGCCAAACACGTGCCTAGCTGGTCAGACTCAAATAGGGCCGCAAACGAGTGAAGCGGCTCACGAGTCGCTCGCGAGCGCTCGAGTCAAAGTTCGACTCGAGCTCAAGTTTGACCGAACTCGTGTCGAGCTCGAGCGGCTCGAGCACGAACTCGAGTCGAGCTCGAGCCCATATTTTGCCTTGTCGAGCGGCTCGAGATATATGTTAATGACTAAAATACCCCTTATTATATATATATATATATTAGCATAGGTGCTTAACGGTAATTTTACTTAATTTTCGAGTCAAAATCGAGTCGAACTCAAACATTTTGATTTTAAGTAGAGCACGAGCCAAGCTCGAGCTATTGTAATTTCATATCGAGTCGAGCTCGAGCTTGAGCAACTAAAAACAAACTCAATCCTGCTCGATAAGGCCAATGATCGTTCGGCTCGTTTGCACCTCTATACTCAGACAAGTCTCTAGACTCGGTCAAGTTGGAGAGTATAAAACTAGAAATCAGTCGAATCGTCGCTAATTACTAAAAATGCATAAAACGTAACAGTTTATGGGAAGAAATCACCTCTAATTTACTCTACTGAAAGGGGGTGTTTTTTTAGGGTTCCTATCCAAGATCTGCAGAAAATCTTGATCAGCCATGGAAAATCAGCCAGCGCAAAGAAAAAACTCTCGTCCCAACTCCGGTGACGGCAGAATCTCTGAACTTCCACAACCCTTATTGCACAACATTGTCGCTTTCCTCTCCCAAGAGGAGGCGACCAGAACATGCGTTTTGTCCAAATCATGGCGTTCTATTGGCCCGACTCGGCCCAAAATCGAGTTTAATGAAGCGTCCTACGAAGGGAACCATGAAAAGTTCCTGTCCAATCTGGGCCGCACGCTACAAGTTTACCACAGCCGGGAGTTTTGCTTGCAAGAATTTATATTGCGTGTAAGAAAAATTAATCATAATTCTGTTTCTTTTCTTGAAAAATGGGTCCGGATTGTCTTGCTCGATATGGGCGTTAGGAGGTTTCATCTGGTTTTCATCTCGAGCTACTTTACTTTGCCGTCAATCTTCTTTGAAGCTGAAACCCTTGAGGATTTGCATCTCAAGAGGTGCAGAATTGAATCTGTTGAGAATGTACGCTCATGGCTTCTGCGTAAAGTTTCCTTCTTTGAGGTCGATGTTGCAGAAGAACATTTACGGAAAATAATATCGAGTTGCCCCCTGATAGAACACTTGGCCTTTGATACCTGTCATGGTTTCACAACAATTGACGTTCAACATACTAATCTCAAACACTTTGAATACGCCAATTTGAAAAGGTATGTTGATGTCACTATCAAAATCGACGCGCCAAATGTAGAGAGCATAAGTATTGTGGGACATGGTGCTACTTGGCTTCACCATGGGAAGACCTTCCCTTGTCTCAAGTCCCTGCATCTTGAGCAATGCAGAATTGATTCTGTGGACATGGTCCACATTGCAGACGAACATTTGCGGAAGATAATGTCGAATTGTCCCCTGATCGAACGCTTGGCCCTTGATGCATGTCGTGGTCTCAGAACAGTTGAGGTTCATAATGATAATCTCAAGCACTTAGAATACGATTCGGCCTGTTTGGAAGGCACTATCAAAATCGACGTGCCAAATATAGAGAGCATACGTATTGTGGGACCTGCGAGTTGGCTTCACCATGGGGAGACCTTCACGCGTCTCAAGTCCCTGCGTCTGGAATATGTGGTGCTTACCCAGAAGGACTTCGATAGCTTCTCGGTTGACTTTTGTTGTCTTGAGGATTTGAAAATACACTTTTGCAGCGGCTTTGAAGAATTCCAGCTCTCAAGCCGTTCGATTAAGCGGTTACATCTTGCTGTGAATGGCCTCACCAAGGCAGCTATTGACCTCCCGAATATACTTTGTTTTGAATTGATTTGTGATGATTTCCCCTTAATCACATTGACGACGATTTCCACTGAGTGGAGGTCACTCATACTCTTGAAGCGTGAACTGATTACTAAAAGTGAAACTTCATTGTTTTATGTCAAGTTAAATGAACTGCTTAGGGCATTGAATCATTCTAGGATTCATCTGCACATGAGGGGTTTTCCTCTGGAGGTACCACATGGTTATGTGGGTTTTGGAGAACCTGCCGTGATTGAAAGCTTGGGTGTTGCTTACCGTCATCCTTGTTCTTCCCTTGAAGCTTCTTTAAATGATTTTTTTGGTAGTTTTCGGCCGAGATACATAGAACAGTCTATCTATCCACTTTCAGTGACTGAAGAATATGAAGATATCATGGATGATTTGTATGCAGAGGAACAGGCGGCTAATCGCGTAATCGATCACTGGTATGCCGTTCAAGCAGGAATAGCCGATGAATTCTTGGATTTTCCAGAAGCTCCGGAGAGAAATCAGAATGGAGAAGCCAGTAATGAGCTCATTGATCGTTTGTGGATCGTCCTCATGAAGAAAGAAAGGGAGGACCGCATTTGGCAGCAGGATTTAGATGAAGTAAGTGTGGAGGCGAATGGTCGGAATGTAGTCGAATGGCGTTCTGTGCAAAGTGAGAATTTATCCCAATTGGTGTTGCCGAACAATGTTGATCGAAAGATTCGCTTTCAACTGAAATGGAGAGAGTGAGTCATCTTTGACTAGTTAGTATAAGTATGCATCATAACGTTTGAGATGCTTCTTTTGCATGTATTTAGTTTAAGTAACTTGTGTTTTGGTAAGTAATTAGTGTTAGGAACCTGTGGTTTTGTAAGTAATTAGTTAAGTAACTTGTGGCGTTGGTAAAGTAACTGTAATGCCTGTTTTGTATTATCTACCGTATGGGGAGTTAAACTTTATTGCTTGTTTTGTACTCCCTCCTTTTCAAAATAAGTGTCGTTTTGACTTTTTTGATTTATCCATTTTGCTATGTATCTAGACATAAATTATGTCTAGATACATAGCAAAATGGATGAATCAAAAAAGTCAAAACGACACTTATTTTAAAAAGGAGGTAGTATTATCTACCATATGGGGACAAGAAATTAAGTTTCTATATTTGTTTGCGTTGCTTGCTCAGTTGTGGTTGGTGTTTTGCTCATGATAAAATAGTTCCTTTTTCATTTAACTGATACTTTGCTTGTCGATTCTTCTGCTGGTTATGGAACATTGTCGAACATTAGAGAACATTATATATATAACCGAGTCGCTCAGACTCGGGGTTTCTCATAGTACAACAGTGTCTTACAAGGTTTCTGAGTGAAGAGAAAGCGATGACTGGTGTTGCTGATTGTGAATATGATGGCTAGATAGAATTCATTCATGAGTAATTTATATATTTATGAATAAAAAAATAATAAGTGGACAAAAAACAACAAAAAAGAAGGGCACTAGACCAACATAAAAAGCACGTATTCCGTGAATACGTTTTATGTATATTTTAATCAAAAAACGTATTCACTAAATACGTTTTTCACATTTTTTTTATAAAAGAAAACGTATTCCGTGAATACGTTTTACAATTAAAATGTACCAAAAACGTATTCACGGAATACGTGCTTTTCATTTGTTTCCACCGCAAATACAAGGCACACCTAACTAGGTGTGCCAAGGCTTGTGTGAATTACAGCTCTCTCAAAAAGCGCGTGGGACAATGTAAGTGAGATAAGGTAAGTATTGTTTAAATGAGACATGTGTCATATTTTTATAGGTTAATAAATTTTATATATCATATTAAATAAATTAAATTATCACTATATTTTATATTAAAAAATAAAAATAAAAATATCAAAATTCATAATTTTTCATTCTCTACAAATAGAGACCACATTTGATAGATTTTGGAATACAATTAATTTATTATTTTTTATAATTAATTTATGTTATTAGAAGATGATGACGCAAATCTATAATAAAATGAACATGTTACATAGTAATATGAACATGTTATATAATAAGATGAACATGTTATAGAATAAGATGAAAATGTTACATATTTACAAAATTAGGTGAACATGTTGTAAAATAAGATAGATATGTTACATAATGAAATGAACATGTTATAAAATAAGAAGAACATGTATAAAAAAATAATAATAAAAAAAATAAAAAAAAAGATGAACATGTTACATATTTACACAATAAGGTGAACATGTTACAAAATGAGATGGACATGTTATAAAATAAGATGAACATGTTACATAGTAAGATGGACATGTTATATAATAAGATGAACATGTTACATAGTAAGAAGAACATGTTATATAGTAAGATCAAGGTTTTAAATAGCAGGCTAAGACGTTTATGGCACTGTAGCTATAGCGGAGCAATAGCGGGATATAGCGGCTAAATTGCACATGAATACAAATAGCGGCACGCTGCCAAAAAAAGTTATTTCTCAAATAGCGGTAAATTTAGCGAGCTATTTATTTCCTTGAGTAAGATGAATATGTTATATAATAAGATGAAAATGTTACATATTTACAAATAAGGTGAACATGTTATAAAATAAGATGGATATGTTACAAAATGAGTAAGATGAACATATTATATAGTAAGATGAACATGTTATAGAATAAGATGAACATGTTACATATTTACACAATAAGACGAACATGTTACAAAATAAGATGGATATGTTACAAAACGAGATGAACATGTTATAAAATAAGATGAACATGTTACATAATGAGATGACCATGCTACATAGTAAGATGAACATGTTATATAGTAAGATGAATATGTTATAGAATAAAATGAAAATGTTACATATTTACAAAATAAGGTGAACTTGTTATAAAATAAGATGAACATGTTACAAAATGAGAATGTTGCATTTTAAAGATGAAATTTAGTTGAACATATTATAAAATAAGATGAACATGTTACATAATGAGATGAACATGTTACATATTTACAAAATAAGGTGAATATGTTACAAAATAAGATGAACATGCTACATAATGTTATATAGTAAGATGAACATATTACACAGTAATTGACTCGATTATGAACATCTGATTTCTTGGTAAAATGAATATGTTCCTTTATAAAATGAATACGTTTCTTGGTAAATTGAATACGTAAAATTGAATTGATCATATTAAAATTTGAATCGATTATACTATAATTTGACTCGATTATACTAAGTTTGACTCGACTATACTAGAATTTGACTCGATTATACTAAGTTTGACACGACTATACTAGAATTTGACTCAATTATACTAGAATTTGACTCGATTATACTAAGTTTGACTCGACTATACTAGAATTTGACTCGATTATACTAAGTTTGACTCGACTATACTAGAATTTGACCCGATTATACTAAGTTTGACTCGACTATACTAGAATTTGACTCAATTATGCTAGAATTTGACTCGATTATACTAAGTTTGACTCGACTATACTAGAATTTGAATCGATCATACTAGAATTTGAATCGATTATACTAGAATTGAATTGATCATATTAGAATTTGAATCGATTATACTATAATTGAATATATCATACTAGAAATGACTCGACTATACTAGAATTGGCTCGATCATACTACAATTGACTCGATTGTGCTAAGTTTGACTCAATTATACTAAGTTTGACTCAGTTATACTTGGTAAAATGAATATGTTACTTTGTAAAATAAATAAGTGTCTTGGTAAAATGAACATGTTCATTTGAATATGTTACTTTGTAAAATGAATAAGTGTCTTGGTAAAATGAACATGTTCCTTTGTAAAATGAATACGTTTCTTGGTAAAATGAATACGTAGAATTGAATTGATCATATTAGAATCTGAATCGATTATACTATAATTTGACTTGATTATACTAAGTTTGACTCGACGATACTAGAATTTGACTCGATTATACTAAGTTTGACTCGACCATACTAGAAGTTAACTCGATTATACTAAGTTTGACTCGACTATACTAGAATTTGACTCGATTATACTAGAATTTGACTCGATTATACTAAGTTTGACTCGACTATACTAGAATTTGATTCGATTATACTAAGTTTGACTCGACTATACTAGAATTTGACTCGATTTTACTAGAATTTGACTCGATTATACTAAGTTTGACTCGACTATACTAGAATTTGACTCGATTATACTAAGTTTGACTCGACTATACTAGAATTCAACTCGATTATACTAAGTTTGACTCGACGATACTAGAATTTGACTAAATTATACTAAGTTTGACTCGACTATACTAGAATTTAACTCGATTATACTAAGTTTGACTCGACTATACTAGAATTTGACTCGATTATACTAGAATTTGACTCGATTATACTAGAATTGAATTGATCATATTAGAGTTTGAATCGATTATACTATAATTGAATATATCATACTAGAAATGACTCGACTATACTAGAATTGGCTCGATCATACTACAATTGACTCGATTGTGCTAAGTTTGACTCAATTATACTAAGTTTGACTCAGTCATATTTGGTAAAATGAATATGTTACTTTGTAAACGAATAAGTGTCTTGGTAAAATGAACATGTTCCTTTGAATATGTTACTTTGTAAAATGAATAAGTGTCTTGGTAAAATGAACATGTTTCTTTATAAAATGAATACGTTTCTTGGTAAAATGAATACGCAGAATTGAATTGATCATATTAGAATTTGAATCGATTATACTATAATTGAATAGATCATACTAGAAATGACTCGATTATACTATAATTTACTCGATCATACTAGAATTTACTCGATTATACTAAGTTTGACTCGACTATACTTGAATTCACTCGACTATAATCGAGTCAAACTTAGTATAATTGAGTCAAATTCTAGTATAGTCGAGTTAAACTTAGTATAATCGAGACAATTCCAGTATAGTCGAGTTAAACTTAGTATAATCGAGTAAATTCTAATATGATCGAGTAAATTCTAGTATAATCGAGTCATTTCTAGTATGATCTATTCAATTATAGTATAATCGATTCAAATTCTAATATGATCAATTCAATTCTAGTATGATCGATTCAAATTCTAGTATAGTCGAGTCAAACTTAGTATAATCGAGTCAAATTCTAGAATTTGACTCGATTATACTAAGTTCGACTCGACTATACTTGAATTGACTCGACTATAATCGAGTCAAACTTAGTATAATTGAGTCAAATTCTAGTATAGTCGAGTCAAACTTAGCATAATACTAGAATTTGACTCGATTATACTAAGTTTGACTGGACTATACTAGAATTTGACTCGATTATACTAAGTTTGATTCGACTATACTTGAATTGACTCGACTATAATCGAGTCAAACTTAGTATAATTGAGTCAAATTCTAGTATAGTCGAGTCAAACTTAGTATAATCGAGTCAATTCAAGTATAGTCGAGTCAAACTTAGTATAAGTAAATTCTAATATGATCGAGTAAATTCTAGTATAATCGAGTCATTTCTAGTATGATCTATTCAATTATAGTATAATCGATTCAAATTCTAATATGATCAATTCAATTCTAGTATGATCGATTCAAATTCTAGTATGATCGATTCAACTTCTAGTATAGTCGAGTCAAACTTAGTATAATCGAGTCAAATTCTAGTATAGTCGAGTCAAACTTAGTATAATCGAGTCAAATTCTAATAAGATCGAGTAAATTCTAGTATAA